ACAGGCCACCAGTGAGGATAACCAGAGGAAAGAGCAGCCCCCACAGGCCACCAGTGAGGATAACCAGAGGAAAGAGCAGCCCCTAGAGACCACCAGTGAGGACAACCAGGGGAAAGAGCAGCCCCCAGAGACCCCCAGTGAGGACAACCAGGGGAAAGAGCAGCCCCCACAGGCCACCAGTGAGGACAACCAGGGGAAAGAGCAGCCCCCAGAGACCCCCAGTGAGGACAACCAGGGGAAAGAGCAGCCCCCAGAGTTCCCAAAGTGAGGACAAACCAGGGGAAAGAGCAGCCCCCCAGAGGCCCCCTATGAGGACACAAATCAGGGAGAGCAGCCCCAGAGGGCCCCCAGTGAGGACAACCAGGGAAAGAGCAGCCCCCAGAGGCCCTCAGTGAGGATAACCAGGGGAAAGAGCAGCCATAACCAGGGGAAAGAGCAGCCCCCAGAGGCCCCCAGTGAGGATAACCAGGGGAAAGAGCAGCCCCCAGAGGCCCCCAGTGAGGATAACCAGGGGAAAGAGCAGCCCCCAGAGGCCACGAGTGAGGGAGAAGAGGGTAGAGAGCAGACCACAAGTAAGAAAGACACATCAAAAAGGGCTACATGTGAGAATGAATCCAAAGGCAAATCACATGACTCCTTGCATACAGAGCCCAACACGCAGACCTTGGAGCGAATATTGGAGATCAGGACAGATGGCGCAGGTAAGCCACTTTGAGTAAAACCATACCTCCCAAGTGTCCCTATTTAGGAGGACAGTCCCTATTTTGGGCCCAAATCCCTCTATCCCTCTTTTATAGGACCTCCATATTGTTGTGCCTGAGTGTATAACAGAGCTCCAAAGCAATAATACTCCCAGTAATGTGTCTTTAAACTGCAATAAATGTGTTTACAAATCAGTCTGTATATAAGATACATTGTACTTCTTATATAAATTATGAGTGAGTTACAACAGTCACACCCCCACTCAACCCGTAAAACTAAAAGTTTCCATCTTTTTCCATACCTCCTAATGTTTTGAATGGAAAAAGTCCATCAAAAGCTTAAATTTGGGCGATTTTAAGCAGCCGCCTAAGGCTTTGCGCTGATTGTGGCCTCATGACTACCTAAATTGGCATACTAACCTGTCCCTGACCAAGGGCCTGACAGCTTGCCCTGTGTGCCGCAGGTGTGAGGTCCCTCCACCCTGTCTGCCCTGGGGGAGAGAGCCCATCGATGCTTGTTTGCAGTTTCGCCAGGTACAGGGCTGCAGACAGTGACATTAGTGTCTCACGATCTCAGCCAATCCAATTGTTGCCGCTGCGGGAACGCTCTGACATTTCTGAAGATCGCAAGAAACTTACCACATTTGTCTGCAGCACTGTACACAGGGGACCAGGTATCAAGGCCACCGGACCACCAGAGAATTTACTACTTAAAAAAAGATATTTGCAAGCGTGGTAAGTTTGGTCACTGACACACAGTCTCCCTTTCGCAAATGGTATTGTCCC